TTCATGGATACAAACCCACTTCTTGTGATCCAGTCAATTTGCTAATTGTGTCACTATGGTAGTTTTGTTTTAACAGTGCCCCCTCCTGGCTGTTTGGGTATCAGCAAGTTGAAATCACAAAAAACAAAACAAAACCTGGGTCATGTTAATTTTTGTTGTAAAGGGGGGCCCAGAATGTTTGTGGTTTAAAGAAGAAAAGCAATTGTCTTTGTTTCCCTCAAAATTTATTAAATTGCCCAACCAAAAAAAAAAAAAAAGGAGGAGGAAAGGTCCACCAACCAGACGAAGATGGGAGAGGAGCCAATGAAGGCAAGACAGCGCTGAGTTAATTGTACTGTGGTGGCTCTAGATCACATCTAGTGGTGACGGATAGCAAGGCAGCCCCCAAATGCCCTTGCCTTGGTGTGGGAAGGGAGCTGCAAGATTGCCCTGTGTGTTTATCCCTCCCAGCATGGAGGCGTGGAGACTGCTGCAAGGATCCAGCAGGATTTCCCGTTTGTTCAAAGGCTGCCTGTTTGTTTTAGAAGAGGAGGAGCCCGACGCCAACATTGTTACATTAATGGAACTGGAGTTATAAATAGCTGGCAGTAGGAGGCCTTCTGAGGCTATTTTGGACCTCTACGGCACAAAAGTGGGAAGAGTCCAAGAGGAAGCTGGGATTTTGCTCACCCTCCCAATCAAAGTGGGGGAATTGTTTAGGTCTGGCTATTATTGAAAAGCAGCAACACTTGGTGTGTCAGGGAGCAAGAGAAAACACAGTGAGGTAATGCTCACTATGAGGACTTGCCCTTCTTTAGATGATCTATAACAGTCCATTTTAGCTTTTGGGGGTCACAGACCTCTTTGAGAATGTAATGAAAACTATGGAACCCGCTCCCCAATAAAATGCACTTAAACATAAACGCACCACATTTTTCATACAAACGTTATTGAATTGAAAATGGAGCTTTCAGGTAGACTAATCTGGAATGAAATATTATGATGAACACTTGAAAAGACTGATGTTTACCTCCAAAGTAACAGCGGCAGAAGAATTTTGAAGTAACAGGAAGGAAAAGAAAAGGGGGAGATCAGTTTACACTTATTATATGGACCCTCCAAAGCCTTTCTACGGAATCCCCAGGTATCCATGGACCCCAGATTAAGAACCCCGGGTTTTATGGGTCAGGAGTTAGACAGATAGATCAGTTGGCTAGGGTTTACACTCTTAAATCTTGAATCATATTCTTTCTAACTTTTTATGAAATCCAACTTCACAATGGCTGGAAATGCAGGAGAAAGGTTGGGAAGAGTAGCTTTTCCCTCCCCTCACATCATACTATAAGACCTCCCCTGACTCCTTCCCAGAGATCTAATAATTCAAAAACACCATTTTGCAATTGTAGGGCAGGGAGCCAGCAGTCCTGGGTACTCTGCTCAGTTGTGAAAAGGAAAGCTACTGTGATGAGTTACAAGCAGCAGGGGGAGAAAGAAGCCTTGAATCAGAACGCCTGATTTGAATGCCCTTAGTATGTGCAGAGGAATGAAATCCTAATTCGCATAAAGGGTTCTGTGGTGCACTTAGTTGGATGTATTATACAGTAAGGAGGCTGTTGGCAAAAGGTAGCTCTCCTCAAGCATTGCCTCATGCATAATCTGAAGGCAAGGATGAGCCAAGGTTATTTCCAAACTTCTTTCAGCCGTTGCCCTCTCTCCTGTTCAAACACCTCCCCCAACACACAGTTATGTAGCCACAGCAAAGTGCTTGTGCCAACACTTTATCCTTTAGGAAGGTCTGTTCCTTTCAAGGGGATTCGTTTAACTGGGCTCCGCTTTTTGCTCGGGGCCATAAAATGGCACCTTTTGCCTTTTGATTGGAAGGCCACATTGCGCGCAGCCTGCTTTATGGTGCATTACTGCTTCTCGCACAGATTTAACCAATTTAATCCATGTCTAATACATAAATAAATAATCCAGCAGGAGCGCTCCACATTAGATGACAATAGGAAACTATAAAGCATGCTTCCACTCACAGGAGACATCAGATCTGAGTGTGCAACGCCCTCTGACGACCAGAGCAGCAAACACAGCTGGGGAGTGTGTGCTTGTAGCCATGTGCCGCTCGCTCGGTGGTTTATGGCAACTTGCTTGTTTGCTTTAAAGTGTGATTTTATGTTAGCGGGCTGCTGTATATTCCGATGCAGTATACAGTAAAGTCCCTTGAGCAAGGAAAGAAACTGGCTCTGAAACAGGTCTTAAATGTCAAAATCTAAATTGCTGGCTGCAAGTCACCAAAATTCAATTGTCTGTGATAGGCTTGGGGAACATTTTTGGTGATGATTCAAGTGTTACAAAACACACTATCCCTGCTAGTTGACAAGCTCTTATACGGCATCTTTCGGGTCTAGCTGAATTTGTCCCAGAGGAAGGAGTCAAGCAGGGTCAATCTAATTTCTGGTATAATTCATCACACTTCTTTTTGGGAATCTTTAGTTTCTGCTTGGAAGTGTTCATCTGAGCTTGGGTAGTAAAAATATCTGTACTTCTGTAATGCTCTTTTCCCAATTTAGGTGGAGAACCTGGAGTCTGGAATTATACAGATGTTTATAACATTTCATTCAAGCCAGTTACATCTTTCTTTCTTTCTGTCTGTCTGTCTGTCTGTCTGTCTGTCTGTCTGTCTGTCTTTCTTTCTTTCTTTCTTTCTTTCTTTCTTTCTTTCTTTCTTTCATGGACATCTCAGATTTACAACGAACCCATGTTTCCAGCTATATTTTGAAAGTTTATTTCTACCACTTGTCTTTTTTTTACTTGGTAGGAATAATTCCTGCACACGGTTCTTTCTCTTCTACAGTTAGAATATGCAGAGGTGCCTTCATTCAGCATGTGGAGAGTTGCTATAACATAATCCCCAATTAAAAGTTCAGTGGGAGAGAGGAGTCCATTTGAAAACCACAACATGTCTCTTCCTCTGCTTAGTTTCTTTTGAGGTTGTTCTAAACAAGGCTATCAATGCCATTTACAGAATGAAGGTTTTGGGATGTTGATGATGAGTAAAAAATACACCGTTCAAGTCTTTCTCATTTTCAGGGCCATTTCACACAAAAATGAATTTATTGGGTGTCACTTTCATCGCAGAAAATAATGTTAAGACTTATCTTGCCTAAATTTATAAATATATAAAATGTTTCTTGTAATGTACATTCTATAACAAGTCATTGATATTTAGGTAGGTATTGCTTGAAATACTTATTTAAAGCTGATGGAATCTGTGACATGCCTCAGTGGCATTAGACCACTGCAAAGCCATGCCACTGTGTCTGCTGAAGCCAGGCATGTAGCCGGGGGGGGGGGGGGGGGGGCTTCAGCCCCCCCCCCGAAATTCTCATGGTGGTTCGCGAAAAGGCCTTACTGGTGCATTATTTAAACTGTTATGTTTATTCATATCATGATCTGATCACCATACTCAATATATCCCATATGTATGGGGGTATTGGGGTAATGATACAAAAGGTTTGCTAGGGTAGACCCTCTTTCACTCAGACTCAGCCCCCCCCCTGAAACTCAGCCCCCCCCCCCCCCTGAAAACCTCCCCCACCCCACCCCCCACCCCCCACCCCGAATCGAAATCCTGGCTACGGGCCTGGCTGAAGCCATCATATATAGGACTCACAGAACTTGCAATGCCCGCTCCCGCTTCCTTTGCCTCTTCAAGATGCTCTCAAAAAAGAGAGTGTAACATCTCTCATCGTCCAGTGAACATTCCCCCAAAGTGAAACTGCTCTTCTTTTAATTCCTTCTGTCAGCCTGGCTAGTTTCAAAGAAGATGGTAACTAGTGGCCTCCATCTCCATGAAGCGATGAATTGCTCCAGGTTTCAGTCTGTATTTTAAAGGAGCTATAGAAGTTGTTGGATCCTCTTGCAAAACTAAATTAACCATCTATGACAGGTCTTTTAAACTTCCAGATAAAGCTAAGACTGGATCCATTGCTGCTCTGGCATAAAGGCTATCATTTATATGAGATTACAAAGGTCCTAGCATAAAATTGAAGCAGGGGCAGAACCAGATACTGCTGCATGTTAGAACTAGCAGAAATTTCCTCTGAGCCTGTCCAGCATTGTCTAAAAGAGATATTCCTGACTTAAACAAGGAAGAACATCTTCCATAGTAGAATCTATACAGAGTTTGGTACAGATACTTGAAGGTACAATCCACTTTTGTGAAGGTTAGGGAGCCAAGATACCAGTAAAGTGGGGAAAAAAACATAAATTAAAAATGCTGGGTTTTTTATTTAAGAAAATACCATTCTAGGAATGTCTAGGTCCTCCAAGGTGACTCTTTGGTTAATTTCAGTTGGAAGTTGATCACAGGGTCACCACAGAAGACCTAGAAGGAATATATAAAGTAGATATAACTGATTTTAATGCTTGTGTATATTTATAGTTATTTTATGTCCTGGCATGGAATGCTTCCTGTATATAGGTTGTGCTCTGCCCTGAGTCCCCTTTGGGTTTTTTCTTTGGGGGGGGGGTCATGTCAGGAGCGACTTTGAGAAACTTCAAGTCGCTTCTGGTGTGAGAGAATTGGCCATCTGCAAGGACGTTGCCCAGGGGACACTCAGATATTTTGATGTTTTATCATCTTTGTGGGAGGCTTCTCTCATATCCCCGCATGAGGAGCTGGAGCAGATAGAGGGAGCTCATCCATGCTCTCCCTGGATTCGAACTTGCGACCTGTCCGTCTTGAGTCCTGCCGGCACAGGGCTTTAACCCGCTGCTCCACCAAGGGTTCCTTCTCACCCTTCGGGGTGAGAAAGACAGAATATAAATCTTTCAAATAATACATTAATAAATAAATATATTATGCAGATCTCCAAATAATCTAATCCACAAAAGTTAAACCCACAAATATTTGGCCTGGTTGACTTTATATTTTGAAACTGAACAAGTAATAGTTAACCACTGATGAATGGAGCTGATACTTGCTAAAACTCAAGTCTGTGACCTCTATTGTCCAACAGGCAAGAAGAAGACAACACTTTTTGACAGCCAGGCCCCCATCTGCCCTATCTGCCAGGTCTTGCTTCGCCCGGGTGAACTCCAAGAACACATGGAACAAGAGCTGGAGAAATTAAAACAACTGAACATCAGGTAAGGATAGCTAGACTCTTCATTAACCTGCGTTTTTTATCTGAGGCATTAACGTGTCACTTTCAAAACCAGTCAGCATATGGCTTTTTTCTGTGTAGTTAGCAAGGCATATATATTTATATAGTAAATGTTCCAAGTTGCGATGAAATTGCTTGAAAATCCTTCTTGGAAATGCATATTCTCATCCCGGGAATCAAGAAAATGGGACATGTCTTATTCAGTCAGTCCAGGAGTTTAATTTTCAGCATGCACATTTTTAGATTAGGCTTGAAGAGAGGTGAGGAGATAGAGATGAAAGTTGGACTTCTTTTAGTTTTCCTTCTTCTGCCTGGGCTGCCATTCCAGGCCTCCTTGACTGAAAAATTAATGCTGTGCTAATGCCTTAGTTGAAGAAGCTGCTATCTCTTCAAATTCCTTTTGCCATGGGCTCCTGTGAATAACTGTACTCTTTCCTCATGCACCCCACCACACCAGTGCAGCCGTGAAGAGGTTAAGCATGTAGACAAAGAGATAGAGCCCCCCAGCCCTCATCCCAGAGGCTGCCATCTGCCCTGAGGCTGCCTCTTGGTTGCCTGCTACTTTCACCAGCACAGCAAAAGTCCTCTATTTTTTAAAAAAATTAATTGCATTTTAACTGCTAGCAGTTATTTAGGAAATCGCTGCAGCCAAGGGTTGGCAGATCCCTGGCCTTCCTTTAATAAAACTGCAGCCTGGGAGAGAGCGTGTTTATTTCAATTATTAATGAATTCCCCGGTCATTAAAAGGTGAAGAAAGAGATCATGCTGCCGTTGGCAGTGAGGTGATGTCATCAGGTGGCTGGGAACAGCAGGAAGCAGGGAACAACCAGGTTTTGGACCGCCCAGCACCTAAATGGACCACCCCTAAGGTTTGGAAAGCAAACCCACTGTAGCCTGGGGTCTTTTCTCAATCAATGCAACAAGGGAGCTTATTGGACACAGGTGTAACGAGCAAGTTTACATAGGATAAAAAGGGGCCTTGCCCAATTCAGGCTGGACCGAGACCTCCCATATCCATGGCCCGTGTGGTATCCAATACAGAGGCAGAATCTGCCACATCTCGGATGGGAGGGAAGAGGGGGAGAACGGCAACAGCCAAGCCATTTATCCCACGCGACACCCATTTCCCTTGTGTGCATAATTTATGGTGTAATTTGGGCTGCATCCAACTTAATAAAGGGCCACAGCAAATTAACGAACAGGTTTAAATGAACAGAAGCAATTAGTGCTCAGAGGAGCCTGTGGAAAGAGCAAGGCTAGTCTTGGAGTGGAGCTGGCCAAGAGCAGCCTGTAGCTGGCGTGAGGTGGGTAGTGACGTGCTGGGGGTGGGGGGGGGGCATTTAATGGGAAAGGAAAGGAAACGGTAAATCATAAAGGCTGACAAGGGCCATTGTGGGCCAGCTGACAAATGAAAAAGAATGGCATTATTCCTTTAAATAACCGTGGCAGTTAAAAAGGGAGACAGCTCACTCCTAGCCCTCGCCTGCTCCAGCTTCATGCATGGGGAACAGCAATCGCGGGGGTCTTTATTAATTATTAACTAATGACTCCTACCATGCTGCAATAGATAACACTCAGTCTCCTCTACAGAGCAGGCCCTGGGGGCTAATCTTCAGCCTGCTATAGTACATCCTACCCCCAACCTGGCAAAGGAAACAAGCCACCTTAAATGTCACACTGCTTTTGTGTCTCATGGGGACTGGGGTTCAAAGCCTCCCTTCCACAGAACATAATAGATAAGACCAGTCCATTCCAGGAATGTGTTCATCCTTTACACAAATTCTTATGGATATAGGAAAGGAAGGGCAGGCAGGGGAGAGAAGTCTTTTTTGAGTCATTGCGATGGGACTGTCCTTTGGGTTATGATACTATACACAGAAAGAACAGCTAACCATAATGAGAAGGGGAAGCTAATAACAATCCTGAAATAAGCCAATAAACTTGAAAATGAAATGTATGGTTATAAATGTGATTTGCTAGCATAGATGAGCCTAGCTATAGCTCCATGCCAAACTCCAATCATCACCAAAATGGCTCAGCAGCTGTTACTTATCAAGGCGATATGTGAAAATCATTCAGGGAAAACTGAGAATCTTGTTTGCCAAGGGGAAGCACTTTTTTAAAAAAGATGTCAGTCACAGATCATTGTGTTCAGTGTTATATAAACATTCGCGTAAAAGACAATGAAGAGCCCAGTGGCACCTTAAAAACCAACAAGTTTTCTTTGGCACAAGCTTCCATGGAGTATGGCCATCTTCTCCTGTGGTCAGGGATGAAGGAAGCAGCCTACCCTTTGGTGGTTTGTTCCCTCTAAAAACCTGCTTACAGAATTAGGAAGATATAGAGGTCATTGTTCCTTACAGCATCAAGGCACTGGTGGATGTTATAGCCACACCTACCTGTGGGCTGGTCTCCTTCTCAGTGGAGTTTTATATGCTCCTCAACAAGATTAAAACCAGTTTATATTTTATTTCTTTACTTTTAAAACCTATACCTTATTTTCTGAGATTATTGAGCACATGGACTCTTGAGCAATGTCCCTTTCAGGCTTTGACTAGGCCCTACTTAGCTAAACTAAAGAAGGTATGGCATATGCCTTCAGATCTGGTGCTGTGTCTTGGTGTATATTATTTTTATATCCTATAATAAAAAGAAGTGTATTAAGGGTTTTTTAAAACTGGGATTTATTAGCAGCCTGTGTTGGAATGTGGGGAGCTCACACCCACTGTAGCAGTTTGAATTACCTATTGAACTGGTGGTGACTTTGCTTCACCAGTGCAGAAACACTCTAACAATATATTAACTAATTACAAAATACAGTTGTCTCAGTGGACTATGTAGTGCTATTGCTTATTGGAACTTGACCCATTGGGCCACTACAACAGCTTTGCTATTTTTTCACCTGATGGCTGTGTCCTTGGTTCAGTGGTTCTCAACCTGTGGGTCCCCAGATGTTTTGGCCTTCAACTCCCAGAAATCCCAACAGCTGGTAAACTGGCTGGGATTTCTGGGAGTTGTAGGCCAAAACACCTGAGGACCCACAGGTTGAGAATCACTGCCTTAGTTGTTCTTGTCCTGAATGGATGGCTGTCTACCAGGCATGGTTTCGATTAAAGGGGTCTTGTCAGTGTAGAAGATGATGTGACCTCTTTGAGGGAATATAACTAATGTAATAGATGAACCTTGCCACCTGCCTTGCCACCTACCACCTGCCATTATATCTGAATCCATTTTATAAGCATATCCTAAACATCCCTGTATCGGTAAGATAGAAGTTTGTTTGTTTTTCAGAGGTCCGTGCCAGCATGGATGGAGTTAATCCCCTCCAAGCTGAAGCTTGTAGTTTTGTTTTCTTTCAATTTATATCCTTCACTTAAAACGGAAAAAAAGGAGGGGTGAAAACGCCCGGCAGGTGACATATTCTAAGAGGGAGCAGCGAAATCGTGTTAACCACTTCAAAATCTCATATATTCAATCGGCCTCTGGCAAGACATCTGCCTAATGTTAGCGCTTAAATATCCTTTTCCATTTTACATGCATTCAAGTCTCATTTGAGTGAAATGAAACGGTATTATTAAAGGGAGATTTTGCACAAATGGCCTGAATTTGACATGTCAAGTTCAATGAGGCTGTTACATATGTAATGCCAAGAAGGGGCTTCGAGGCTCCTGGCACTTGAAACAGCGCCAGTGGTTCAGAAATGAAATTTGCATGCAGTCTTTTCTCTTCCCATCCTTCCATTCCCTCCCACAGAATGCCAAGTGGTTGCCTTTGCAGTGTGTAGCCCTTGGTTTGGATCAGGGGGGAAAGGCAATAATTGCCCCCCAGTTTGACGCTGAGGGGAATGAGATGCCATCCTCCCGAATGCTGCATCTTGATTGACGCTAACATTCATTGGATCACTATTCTGAGAGGTGCCTCAGTCTTCATCTAATCTGGTCCCACAATTGTACCAGTCTACTCAAAGTATTCCCTAAATGATGCTATACAATTGAATTCCTCCATCTTCTAATGTGGAGAACAAAATTCTTCCACTACTTCCTTTATTTCCACCATGTTTCTTTATTTAAGATGTGTTCAGGCAGTCAGGATCAGCATCTAAGACAGATGTCCAGGGGCTATAAAAGAAAACTATGATCAGCCAAGTCTCCAATCTTGGTGCAAATCCCAAGCTTCCAATCTTGGTGCAAACTTTTCTTCCATCTTTCCTGATGATCAAGGAACATGAAGGGAACATGAAATTACTGAGTTAGAAGAGGGATAACTCTCTTGTGGAAAGGTATTGAAAATCTCTTGCTGAATGAATTTGTGGTAAAAAGACAGAAAAAACCTGGATCCAAGCCCTGCCACTTTCCCCAGTTTACGTGAATGCTGAATTAGAAAGGAAATATATCTTAATGAAAAAACACCAACTCTTATGATGGTTTTGTTTTGCACACTCACCCATTAAGGCCCTGCCAACTACACTAATCCTACAAATTCATTTACAACTGAGTGTAACAACTGTGGCAGATCTGGAGCATCCTTTTATGTTTGGAGACCACACAGTTTGGTGGCCACACAGACTACCAAAACACAAAAACCACAAAGTGCTGGAAAGCCGCTCCTGATTCTCATAATTTGGTAGTTTTTATGTTCAGCTATGCAGGGGGTCCTTGACAAGATCAAACTTCCAACAGCAGCAATTTGGTCTTTTTTTCTTTTTTTTACTAGAATACAGTTGGTCTGGTGATTTGGAGGTGGTGGAACTGTTTGTTCTAATGGTAGATTTGTGGCACTCTGAACAATAAAGTGTATACATTTTTTTCATTTTTGATTCCAATAGAAATTAAATAAAAGTGGCAACTACCATAACATGTTCCCTTCAGTACATGCAAGCGTGCAATTGTAAAGTGATTTTGCATGAATGCTTCCAATATGAATTGCTGGTTGAGAGAAAGACAAACATAACAAAGAACAGTGGAAAGAATGAGACTAGACACA